ATCTCCATGCAGGCGAGATCTCCATCACAGAGGGGGGCCAACTCCCATCTGTTTCCGCCTAAAGGATTAAGCGGCACTATTGGTCTCCGTATCACGCATCCCCCTCTCAACTTCTTGAACAAGGCGTTTTATGTCTATCCAACGGAACACTACTCAAGTGGCTCCCCGGCGTTTTCCTCCGGTCGGAGGTGCTAGCCCACCCGAAACCGAAATACCATCTAGGTCTAAGGGGGCACGGAGGCTCCCCCACGGTACCTGATTATATGTACATCGAAGTCAGTCTCAACGCTGGCCGATAGCCAGTATTAGGCTATGAACAAGCTGTGCAGCCGACTCTACTTTGTCTAAATCTCGGTGAGATTGCACGGTAGTTCGATCTAGCAAGTGAAGTCGGCTGTCTAGGTATGCAGTCAAATCTTCATCTGGCATTTGACATGTTTGGCGTGGTATCCATGTGGCATGTGCCCTTTCAGGTATGGTCCACATCCTTGTGAGTTGTTGCAGACACCACGCAGACGCAGTGCAACGGCCGACAGGCAAGTGCCAAGTGAAAGAAGGCGGTGTTGCTGAACATCTGCCAGACGATCAAGGAGCCATCTTCTCCTTTGGGAGAATTGACTGCCGGCAAACAGCCAAGCCCGCAGGCTTGCAGCTTTCAATAAGGATCTGTGAGATGTGTGCCGATGCACCTTTATTGGCCAACGCGTCTGTCACCATGGTGGGCTTCGTATGTGCACTCACTGCTTCGGCCAACTGCAAAGACGTCGCTGACCAGAGGCTTTGTGCCTCCCTCTCTCGGTATTCGTATTAACACAAACTCGTCATGCCAGTGGGTCACCGGGTAAAACGATATACCGCCGTGGCCCCTCCTCGACGGCAACATGCCATGATGGAGCCGACAAGGTGCTTGACTCGCAACTCATGACGGCGGGTTCCATCTCCGCGTCCGGGCTGCACAGCAGCTTCAGGCAGCAAGTGTCCCGTCAACCAGATTTCGACCTTTGGGTCTCATGAAAGAGGCCCTAGCGGTGATCCCACTTGCGCACGATATTGCGGATATCCGAAGGCGATTCCTGGGGCTATGTCGTATCGTGGGGTTTTTAACTTGTACGTGTCTGGGACTCCAGGAGCCATGTCCAAAGTTGTGAGCCTGGCAATATCATGTTCAAATAGCTGCACCACGAGATCTTTTATCATTCGCAGAAGCCGTTGTTATGCATCTTATCCCAAACCATTCCCTGTTCCGAGTGTTTTGATGGCACTGGGCTTGTTCTGTAGCTCGAAACTTATTCACTACATGCCAAAAAGACAAAAACAGTATTGCACAGACCAGACTTACCCAAGAGTCCGCCAACACATCTGGCAGGCTGCTTCTGGAGATTCCGATGTAAGAACCTCTGACAAGTGGTGGTGGTGGAGGAGATTCTCAGCAAGCATCGGATTTATGATGATCCGGTTCTCGGAACATTAAACGCCGACAAAAACTCCGCAGCCTCGGCCGCCGCACGAGGCTGTTAAGTGCAAGGCTGTCAGACACGACGTGGGACAAGGTCATCTGCCAAAGCTCTTTTGATTCTTGCCATGATTTGTTGATTATTATTCTTTCGGATGCAATAACCTCGAAACGAGCTTGTCCCAAGGAACAGCCCGCAGTTTGCCGGCACCGGCACGGCATCAGGCTCCCTGGTTTTGGTATCAAAAAGGTCAGGATACCTCGGCTGCGGTGGACCGTTGTCAGCACCTCTTCGGCAGTGTGACCAATCACCACACAATGCTTCTTTCTTTGTCCCTCTCTCGAAACGGGGCTCGTTCGATCTCTCGAAAGAGCCGGTAGGTTTGGTTTTCATTCTGAAAATATGAGTCGAGATTGTTTCCTTCTTGTTGTTGTTGATAATACATACCGAGAGTGAGCTTTTTCCATTGTCGGGGAGCGTGAAAAAGAATTTGTAGAGGTCCCGAGGAACCATGGCTCATCAGATCCCCATCGTCGTCGGCGTCGGCGACTTTGTCAACCGATCCACCGCGGTTGCTGACGCGCTGGAGCCGTTGACCCTGATCCTCAACGCCATCAACAACGCGCTCGACGACACCGGTCTCCCCCAGGACAAGAGGCGGCAGGTCCAGGCCGCTGTCGACAGCATCGACGTTGTCCGCACGTGGACCTGGCCCTACGACGACCTCCCAGGCGACATTGCCCGTGGCCTCGGGGTCGAGCCGCGCCATAAATTCTACAGTGATCACGGCGGGAACAAGGTCGCCAAATTGTTTGATCATGCCGCGAGGAGGATCTCGCAGGGCCAGACCAACGTCGCGATCGTCACGGGAGGAGAGGCTTTGGCGTCCCGTGAGTGAGACAATCTCTCTCCCTTCCACCAACGGGACCTTGTCTCTCGAGGCTAATTCTTCTTCTTCTTTGTCATAAAATATAGTGAGCGCGTGTGCTGCGGCCAAGAAGTTTCCGCCGCCGGGTTGGACCAAGACGAAGGTAGGGATCGACGGAGTTTTCAGTCCCACAGACAGAGATATGGGCAAAGGTATGTGAATCTCGGGGATGGGGAGGGGGGGGGAGCTTCCCATATGAAACGGTGCTCTCTGGCTTGACTTCTTGTTGATCTTCGCTCACGACTATTTAACAAAAAGATCTCGGCGCCATCCACTCGATAGGCGCCCCCATCCACATCTATCCGCTCTTCGAAAACGGTTTCCGTGCCCACCGCGGCCAGTCGATACCCGACAACCACGAGGAGTCGTCTCAGCTCTACGCCGAATTCGCCAAAGTCGCCGAGAAGTCGCCGTACTCGTGGAACTACGGCAAACCGGCGCCCACGAAGGAAGTCATCGGGACGGTAACGAAACGCAATCGCATGATTTGCTTACCCTGTGAGTTTTTCTTGCCGACCACCAAGGCACCAGGAAGGGGGTTTGGGCGATGGCAGGTTTTTTGGGGCTGACGAAAGTGACCTCAGATCCCCTTCTCATGAATGCGTTCAACACCATCAATCTGGCCGGCGCGTGCATTCTGACCTCGACAGCCTACGCTGAGGAACTTGGTATTCCCAAGGAAAAGTGGATCTATGCCCTCGGCGGTGCTGGCACGCAAGACTGCGACAACTGTACGTACCTGACGAGTTCTTTCAAGAGGCCACGATGTTACAGGGTCAACTAATCATCGAGCGCGCAGTTTGGGAACGACCCAACTTCTACACGAGTCCGTCCATCGAACAGTCCATTGACACGGCACTGCGTGTCTCGGGTGTCGACAAGGAAGAAATTGACCTTTTCGACTTTTATTCGTGAGTCGCGCGCCAATAGCTGATCGCCACCACTGTTGTCTCTGACATGGTGATCTACTGCAGGTGTTTCCCGATTGTCCCCAAAGTCGCCGCAACACACCTGGGCCTACCCATCACGCATGGAACCAAGCCAATCACTCTTCTCGGCGGGTTGACCAGCTTCGGAGGCGCAGGAAACAACTACTCCATGCACGTAAGTTCAACGCAACAACAGAATCGGTGGGCTATCGCTGACATTTTGCTCCTCTTCTACTCAGGCCATCACCGAGATGACGCGACAACTGAGACAGGGCAAAGGCCGAAACGGCCTGATCCTTGCGAACGGTGGCGTCATGACCTACCAGCACGTGTTGTGTTTGTCGACGACACGCCGACGAGATGGCTCCCCTTACCCAGACAGAGACCCGTTGCCGCAGTTTGTGACTGGCCTCACTGTTCCGAAAATCGATGCCAAGGTCGAGGGGGAGCAGGATGCTGTCATCGAGGTATGTACAACTTTTCAAAGGTCCTATTGTTTCCAGAGCCCTGCTCTCCGGACGTGTGCGATGGACATTACTGTTGAGAGGCGTGACGAAAAGCTTGCTAACGTCTGACACCCGGTGGAAACGAATAGACGTACACGGTTGAATTCAAACGGGACAACACCCCGCTCCGGGCATATATCGTCGGTCGACTGAAGAAGAACGACCACCGGTTCGTCGCCAACCACGCGGACGAGGAGACGCTGCGGCAGCTTTCGACCGGGACGGATGAGAAGATTGGACGGGCAGGACGGGTTCACAGCGATGGAGTGAGGAACTTTTTCTCGCTGAAGAAGGAGACACGGGGCAAGCTGTAGAGGTGTGATCTAACGAGTGGTCAGTCCATTCAATCCGTACAAAGTACTTGTAGTGGTTAGTCTCTTGAAAGGAAGATTGACCGCCCTCTACCGAGTACTCCGTACTCCGTACTTGGTACTCGGTACACTCTGATCGTACGGATCTGAAATTACTAAGCACAATCTTGGCGAGGCTTAGTTACTAACCTCTAATGCACTAGCTCAGTCACTGGATCATCACCGCCAAGCTTTACAGCCTTGTACGCCCAGCTCCCATTCTTCTCCCTTCTTTGATCTTCAGAGACTCTCTTATTCAGTCGATGAAGCCAATCAAAGACACAGGCTCCAGGTTCAAGACTATATCCCCTTTCCCAGTCTCAAAAGTCGATTCATCGCACACATGGTTCGCCTGTTCGCACACTTGTTGTGCCGTGTCATCTAGGGTGCCCTCCAATAAGGTCCCGCTCAACCCCTGATTGTTGCGCGTGGCGTCGCCTGGCCCGTTTCACCCGTCGGGCTCCTGCAGGTTTGCCCTCGCCAGGTTTCCCACATCCATCTTCTGTCCCCATGTTTCTGGCGCATTTCCAAAACGCCTTGCGGTTCGTCGCATGTAAGGCCACCCTCTGCCTACCCGTTTTTGAGGCGTCCTTGCGCCGCTAGCCCAAGTCTCGCCCGCGTTACAAGGTACGAATACTCGTTAGACGGTGATGACTGGGTCGTGTCCACATCTCCAGTCTCGACCCGCAAGATTGTGACCCGCTCTGGCACGGGTACTAGGTATGCTCCAGTCTTGCGATCGCACTACGTGAACATTCCCATCATCAGAACCACTTTTGCTCGCGTTCGTTGTATGGTTTTTTCATTTTTTTTGGGCCTGAAAGCATCTATCCATGGCCTCCCCAAAGTTTTCCGAAGATCATTCGTCCTACAGCGACAAGCAGATCGTGTCGAGCGTCGATCATGGTATAGAGGTCGTCAGACAGCCCTATCCGGACGCCTATGCATATGCCAACCCTAACAATACCAACAACGACAGTTCAAAGGGCGGTAGTGGAGGTGGCGGTCTCGAAGCTGTTCATCACCTTCTGTCCAACGATCAAGAGAACCCTGCTTCGTCCAAGGAAAAGTCGAATCGAAAAATCTGTGGTCTTCGCAGCAGGACCTTCATAATCGTGATTGCCGTGGTCACGGCTTTGGTTGTTGCCGCCATCATTGGAGGGAGTATAGGTGGCGTCCTGGCAAACAAACACAGCGCAGACAGCGCAAAGGCCGACTCAGCAGAGGTAAAGTTGGACTACTCTGACATTTTCGTTCGTGCGTTTATTGATATTGTGACCTTGAAGACCAGCACCACGTCTCCAGCTCCTGCACTCTCGACGACTGTAACAACGACCTCGGCATCAGCAACATCAGCCACCTCCGAGCCTGCTGTTTCCACGAGCAGTCCATCCTCATCCTCGACAACAAGCACGACCGGCACAACTAGCACCTCCACCTCTTCGACCGCTGCCGCCACGACGTCGAGCTCTGGCGAAGGAACCTACAACTGTCCCGCAGACAACAACACAAACTACGTGTCACCCTTACTCAGCACCGCGACCTGGACTATCCTCTGCGACACAGACTGGCCGAGCGGGGTGGACTCGTTCAGCGGTGGCACTGTGGTCGACCTCACTGCCGTCATTGCATACAGTATCGAAGCTTGCGTTGATCAATGCGCTGCGTACAACGTTGCTGGTGGAAATTGTGAGGCGGTCGTCTACGGCGCCAACATCACCCTTGCGTTGAGTAGGGGCGGAATCCAGGGGAACTGCTTTCTGAAAAGTGACCGGGGAGAAGAGAACATTGCCGACAATAGTGGACAAGTAGAGGCGGCGTATCTGCTCTCGGCCAGTTGAGATGGGAGAGAGGGGAATTTCGATTGCTATCGAACAAATATTGCAATGGAGGTGTGTGCCTCATTTCTACTCTGGCTATGCCACTGCTTGATTTCTGTTACCTCGACATCGGGTCAACGAAGAGGTGGCTGTCTCTCTTCATCTCAAGGAACCATGGGGACTACCGCCATCAAGATTGAGACAACGACAAACAACACGCAAGATTGTCCTGTGTTGGCGCTCTACGGACGCGCCTACCACTCAACACCGTATTGACTACTCACCTGTCTCAAAGCGCGTGCTCAACACTACCAACTGAGAGGCAACTTGGGGATCTCATGGTGCTGGGAGTCTGCAATCTGGTCCGGCTTTCTCACGCCAACTTCGCGCCTAGCATGGATAAAATGCTCGACACAAAGCGTGACATTTTGGGATACATCGACGAAGTTTCGAGGGATTGTTGTCAAGTATGAGCATGAACGACAGAACAATCATACAGGAGCCTCCTCGATGAGATACGGAGATGCACTCCTTTCCACATCCTCCGAGTGGAAGGACTGCCAACACCTACTGCCAACACCTATACCTGGGACTTTTTTTTCGCGAAACGCGAGAGCTCAGTCATGATGGCATTTGCGTTTACTGGGATCTCTATCCCCACCCAACCTGAGGGGAAGCTAGCTGGTTCAAGAGGAGCGAAGGCATATGAATATGTCGTCAACTCGTTCGGGCGATATGGAAGAGGGCAAGTGCGTGTGGAAAAGCACTTCGAGTGTTAGGAGGCTGTCAGATTGGGATGGGATGGAGTTGGATGAGAATCTCGACTCACGGCACGGCGTCCATGGGCATGCATGGTGCAATACAACCAAGAGAGACACCCCCATCCTCCCTTTTTACACGACTCGAATTCCTGGACATCGCGACACTTGTTCCAGCGTCACCCAGGCGTCAGATTGTGCATAAACCGTCATCATTATCACCATCACCATCACCATCTAACCTATCTACCCGTCAGTCCGCCAGTCGGTCAGACAGTCAGTCAGTGCCGTCCGCTGACATTACCATCTCCCGCCCCTTCCCAACACCTCCATTTCCACGCGGTACCCCTGGCACTCATTACCGTATCCGTCTCGACGATAGGCGGTTAAAAACCAGCCACGCACGCAAGAGCAAAAACAAGGCCGTCAGTTAGTCAGTCGGTCGATCAGACCAGGAAACCTACCTGTCTACCTACCTACCTACCTACCTGCCTGCCTGCCTGCGTGCTGGGGAAGTGAGTGCGCAGCCAAGTTTTGAAAATACTACAGAGAGGTACTGTAGGTAGGAGGAAGGCATGGAAGCTTATAGGCGGTCCCGGCACCAAGGAGGGCGCTGGTCGCGAGTTAGATATATATATACATGGCTATATTGCTCATGGATAGCTCAGCGTGCTCAGTGTGCTTGGTTGTCAGGTTCAGGACAACGACCACGACCACGACCAGGCGAGGACAAGGAGAAGGTATATATACATAGTACATAGGACACGGTACAGAAATTACCTAGATTGAGAGTTACATACTAAGTAGCCAATTGGATTCGCCCCTGGCTACGTCCCTGGGATGCGTTTCATCTACCTACCTAGATACCTAGGTATCTTGTACAGCTTGTCCAGCCTCGACTAACTTACCACGCGTTTGCGTTTAGGTCCGTGACTCTGACTCTGACTCTAATTTGTCTGACTGTAACCTCGATACCGATACAGAATACATTGTCCATGCGAACGAGCCCCTCAGAGCCAAAGCGCAAGCATGCATATCCCTTCTTTGGCTTTCAAAACCATGTTTTTTTTTTTTTTTTTTTTTTTGGTCATTCGTTCTTACTCGACTGCCGCCTAGGCTGGGTGTAGAAGTTCATGCTGCGAGGGTTCTTATCCTGAGGCGTGAGGCACAGTCTCAGTGGTGGGTTCCGGGAGGAGCGATATCGGTCATTTCGGTGTCTCTGGGTTGGTGGTCTGGTGTTTGTCCTTGTGTTTCTTTCTCTGTTTTCTTCAGCCTCTCCTCCACATGACCCTCCTGCGCCTGCACGTGGTCTGCTCCTTGCGGTTGCGTCGGTGTCTGTAGCGGGGCTTGTATCTGCGGCTCTTCCGGTGCTTGGACGGTGGGTGGTAGACGCACGTAGTCCTTCTCCTGGTCCTGGTCCTGGTCCTGGTCCTGGTCCTGCTCTTGTCCTTGTCCTTGTTCTAGTTGAGAAGGTCGCGCCGCGGAGTCGAGCGACTCTTGCGGTACGCAGCTTCCAGCTTGGACCTGCTCTTGAGCCCCAGATGTACGAAGGCGGAGCTGGGTCGCCATGGGCAACATGGCGGCAGTAAGCAGTGTATTCTCCTTCCTGTTTCGTTCGTCGAATGCCTCGTAGTCCTCGACCCCGCCTGTCCACATGTCCATGATACTGATCCCTTCTTTCCGATACCTCTCTCCGTCGCGCACACTAGACCGCTTCGCAATAGCCGTGGTCCACTCCCGGAGGATTCGGCGCTGCCTCAGCATTGCGGCGATCTGGTGCTTACGATGGAGCTCTGTCCGAAACTGACGCGAAGCCTGGGGAGGAATAGGGTCGTGGTGCTGAACCCGTGAGATCAGATACCTCAGCTGGAGGTCCGCGATCGTCCCCGTCGAGTCCTGGAAGTCAAACTGTACGTCCGGCTGTCGTCGCCGCCATTTCTCCAACTGCTCAATGAAGGTCATCTTGATCATCTTTCTCGCTTCGTAGATGACTTCCTGCCATGTCAACAAGTTCATTCCAGGCTGTCGACCGACACAACGCAGGTAAAGGCGACTCATCTGTCTCAGCTCTTTTTGAACCACTCTTTGATGGAATTCGCAGGCGTCACGAAACATCTGGTCATTGCAGACTAGTTGCTCTAGCTGCTCGGTACTGAGATCGGAGAGGGCGTCGCGCATGTTCGGAGACAACGAGAGCTGTGGCATGAACGAGGTCTGCACCAAGCCGTGTTGTTGATCTGAACCGTCATGGCGTGCTTGTTTTGGAACATCATCCTCAGGATAGGTACGTATTTGGCCTCTGAAAACCGCCCCTGCGACTTGGCCCGAGTTGACCACTATCCTTGCCAGGTCATTACTTTCCTGTCGTAACATGTCCTGGTAGATCGGCACTGCGGATGCTGGAAGAATGGGTACTGGACAGAAAGACATCAGAGGCGCTTCCGGTTTAAGGCGGTCATGGAGACATACATGACAGTTTCACACTTCGACCACACTCAATGCGCAGTGCGTCGCGTTCGATGTTCGCCATGACAAACTGTGTCCAGTCAAACTGCGCGAACGCGCCTGGCCAGTGTTCAACCTCATAGATCGCATAGAGCCTGCTGACCTCGAATTGTGATTCCTTCTTTTGATCTCGTGGCTGACATTCGCGGAAAAAGCAACGGTGTCTGCCTAGGCGAGCTTCCACGGCTCTAATCAGCCTCTTCAAGCGAGTGCGTGGATATTTTCGTATTGCTGTATCAGCAAGCATGCCGTGAGGAAGTCGAGGCAGTGGTACTCTTATCACGAAGTCTCTGTAGGTAAAGCTCTGAGGAGGGTCGAGACGGAAGACATCCTTGGACGAGGTTGCCGTTGAGCTCCCTCGGGTGACGTGATGCTCACTGAGACGACGACCGTGCATCTTGTTGAGAGTGATCATCGAATGTGGTTTGTGTGAGAAATGGCGACTGGCAGAAAGACAAATCACATAAATCTAGTGAGGCAGCGCCTTGGGCCGGCTTCACGCGGTGAAGACTGCACAAGCGGACCATCGAAGACCTGAGCCTAACTTTCCATCGGTCAGTGAAGCACTCGGTTTAGTGAAAGTAGCGACCTCCGGAGAGAGTGTGGGTTGGTTGGTCTTTGCGAGTGTCAGTTGCCTCGAGGTGACCCCCTACTACAACAAGATCGTCGTCTGAAGTAATGGTACAAAGCCGGGGATTGACAGTGGGTATCAGTGCACTAACGCCTACCCAGTGTTTTCTGTCGTGGACTGAGCATTCGCGCTGAGCTGCACCAGTCCCTAGGGCGTCAAGCAGTTCGGACTCTTCTGACCTTTTCCTGATCGATTTATACAGGTTCCGTGCGAGTCCAGGAGCTCTGACCTTTGGGACTCGACCCAAAGATGAAGTTCTCCCAATTCGCTTTCAGTCGCTGGGCTCCTTCTCGCACATCCCACCCCTTCACCTCACAAACCTTGTGTATAATCTCCAGAAGAAGCCCGTCCATTGTTTCCCCCGCACAGTGTAGGTCGCTCTCAATGAGAATTCTGTTATCTGGCACCGCTTTGATGACACTGGTGACCTTTGCGGTCGAAGAATTTGAGAAATTGATGGCCGCCGAAAAGGAGAAGTAGATTTCCGCCGGCACGGTAGGGGCGAGAAATTGTTTCAACGCATCAGGAGGCCCGGAGTAGGAGTGCATGCAGATTCGTGGCGGAAATGGGAATGTCTTGTCTTGGTTACCAGTGTTGGGACTGTCGTCGCTATGATGGGCCTTTGGAGCGCTCAGAGCCCTCTTTCTTTCTTTCTTGGATGGCTTCTCGTAGCCTTTCCACATCGCTTGTAGAAGGTCAAACACCAAGCCATGAGCTTGGACGCTGTGCACAGAAAGCGGGCGCCGTAGCTTTGCAGCGAGCTCGAATTGAGCTTTCAAGATCGCCTTCTGATGATCAATATTGACGCGGTAGGGCGAGAGCGGTCTCCCTTCGCGGGTTCCGGGGGTATAGTCCTCATCTGAACCACCAGTCTTGTTTGTGACATCGCCGGTCATGGCCCTTGGGCCTTGTGGCAGCCGAAATGATCGATCCAAGCCCACCTCCCCGACCAGTGAATAGGGAAACTCCTCCACTTTCTGCTCCGTCTCCCGGAGAAACTCACGTAGCGATCGAGGGGCAGGAAGAATCTTCAAGAACTCATCGTCATCGGGTGTCGGGGTCAACACCGCTTTGTAATGCTCAATCTGATTAGGACGTACGTCTCCCTTCAGGTCGTCGTACATTTGATGGGAGAACCAAGGGTGCCATCCGAACGCTGGAACGACGTATTTCGAGGTATTCTCTCTGGCATCCGAATTCGAGTCCTTCAACCTGTATTTCCTCGCAGTCTCCAGAACCATTTCCTGATCTTGAGACCGGGTGGCCATGATCGTGAGAACTCTTGCCTTCATGTTTGCGATGTCCTTGATCGAGGCCATGATATCGGTGGGATGACAGTGAGCGTCAAAAACGCCAATTTGCCAGATGGCATCATTGGCATCGTCGGTCTCCGCCATCTCTTGAACACGACTGTTCTCTGTGCTAGACGATTGAGGGAATAAGAGAGCTTTTCAGCAACAAAACATAGGAATACACAACATGATCAAGGTGAAAGACGCACTTACGCAATATTCAAATGACATCAATTTCTGTCATTCAATATCTGCCACTTCATCGATTACCGAAAAGAGGGAGAAAGATCAACAGTTGGGGGATTCAACACTGCTTCATAGCCTAGTCTACGAAAAGTGGCTGCCGGTTGGATGTATATTCTTCATAAGGCTGTGATTAATTCATAACAGTACTACGTTGACAAGTGTTATACATGGACAACAATCGTACGCTGTTCGCAAATGACAGGACCATCATCATGTATACCACTATCGGGGACAAGACCAGCTCTAATCCATTTCTTTCATATTCCGACCGCGACACCGTACCTCGTCAGAACATTCAAGCTGTGTTTCCCGGCAATGGCCCAGCATCCATGTCCCAATAGGATATACAAGCATCCTGACTGTCATAGCCAGAGTCGGTGCTAGTTTCACTATACCGGCGCGGGATCTTGTTTTGACTATTTTGCATGCCCAACACGTCAGCAGCATATATGTGATCGTGTGGTAGAACGCGAACCTCTTCCCTTCCAGCAGTTGCTGGTTTCTCAATAGCTGGCAGCCGTCGGAGAAGGTGCTTCCTCGCTGCCTGCGCCAACAGGTGCGTGTGTTCGATCTCAAGTTTCTTCGAATTGAAAAAGGCCAATGCTTCTGTTTCGTTGTCTTTGAGGTCATGATCTTCACGATCGAGAATCCGCAAAGTTTCTGCACAATGCAAGCAGTTCATGATATCAGCCCTAGCGGATGGGGGAGTTGACGAGTCGATGAAATAAGGGGGTCGAGTGTCAGCTGCTGGCTGCGTGGTGGGAGTGGACAACACTTTCATGGCCTCTGATGCCCGCCTGAAATAGTCGGATTGAGCAGTATCGCTCAGGACCGAGCTTGCGGCCAGCGCTCGCGTTTCAGCTGCGGAGCCTGGTGGCGCAATTTTGAGCGCAGCACTCAAGTGCTCTTGGACACGAGCGGATTCCTCGGCTGTGTGCAGAGACAGCTCCAAAGCCTCTGTCAGTGACAACATTGACCGCCAGGCAGCAACAGCATCAAGCGGTGATCTGACTGCATGATCTTCGACCACGACGTCCAGAAGGGGATTGGGAGAATCTTCCTGCGTGGGTCGGTCGTACATCAAATTGTACGCCCTCTGACAGACTGTATCCAGGAATACATGATCGCACGGCATATCAAGCATGTTGGCAAGATACGGAGGGAGGGGATCCGGATGATGCAGGGGTAAATTGTCGTGCGAGTCTTTGGCGCGGCCCCATTGCCTGTTTGCAAAAAACTTCCCGACGCGGTTAGCGATCCTGGATACTCCAGTTCCGAGTGAGCCCACGTTCCACAGGAGCACCCGACAATGGAGTGTTTTCAGCATTAACCGCAGAGGTGATCGGGGGAGAGTTCCTGCACCAAAGATTGTCAGGAGCAATCGGCTTCGGCTCACTTCGGCATCACCACCAGCCAATTGTGCGTCAATTGCAATGTCCCACGCCTTGATCCGAGCCACGTCGTCGTCAGCAGTGCGACCGGTAAGCCAAGCATAGGCGCGTGCTCCAAAAAGATAGCCAAAGGTATACTTGAGCCATTCACAAGTAATGGCTATCCACTCGGGGAAGAAGTGATGATGAGGAAGGTGTAGTTCCTGCATGCTCGTGCTCCAGGCGCGGCGTCGAACTTGAATGGGCGAGGCTGGAGCTGGAACCTGTCTCGAGGTAGTGCCCAGCTCCTCGACATCGGTTTTCGGTGGAGGTTTTGAATTGAACAAATATGAAAAGATGAGGAAAGCCAGGAATGTCAGGGCAATGAATCCTTTGACTAAGGGTATGATGCCACCGGCCTGGCAGAACTGACTGAATGCAGTCAAGTATATCCGAGGAGAACGTAGAAATTTCCAGCCATCAAGAAGCTCGAGGGGAATTCCAAATAGGCCCTTCTCACGGGATGTTGAGCCCATATCGGACTCACTGAGGCCATCTATTACCATCAGACTGGCAATTGAACCCAGAATGATCCTCGTAGGCCATTTCCCCTTGAGTCTCGAGCGTTCTGACGGGGTTTCATAGATGTGGCCGTAATGTTCCTGTGGTTGGTTTTGTCGTAGCCGCCTCCAACTCTCGGGCAATGGGATCAGGCCCTGCGGAGGGTGGGTGGTTGCGTCTGTCGATTCGGATGAGGGGGACTGGCTATTTGAAGCCGGTGAAGATTCCTCTATTACCACATTGCTCGTGAAAGCAGCAGCTCTTTGAGCATCATGACCGCCTTGAGCGATTACTTTGTCAAGGATCTCGAGCCGTTCTTTTAGTGCCTTGTTTTCTTCCTCTAAGCGCTTCGTCCGGAACTCGAGATGGCGGATGTACTCGACCGCTTTTGTCAATATCGAAGCCTTGTTGAGCTTGTTGCTTGGGGTGAGGCCATCCAGATCCTCCTCATCAGATTCTCCATTGGCTGATTCACGAACTTTTGTCTTCTGTGCGAACCGAAGGCTAGGCACGCTGTCCCTCAGCTCGGCTATCTTCTCATTGAGATTGGCACGATATCTCTTCTCAATTATGTTATGCGGCCGCTTTTTGGCAGGAGCTTCATGCCGGTAGTCCGTCATTGGGATATCGGTGGGTGACAGTTTCCGTTTGAGCATAGGTCGTATACTTGGGGTTGGCTGTTCTCTTAGTGTGTCGCCACTGAGTCGCATCTCGAGACTAGATCGTGATTCTGGAGATGCTGAACTGTGTCGCGGGGTCAACAGATCTTGAGATGGAAGGGCGGTGAGGAGGTCGGTCTTGAGTTGGGCAGGGAGAGAATCTCCATTTGCGGTCGATGATGGGGATATCGGAAGTGCGTGAAGGGCTTGATTTGGAGCAAGATTGTCTTCTTCGGGAGCTCGTGGAAAGGTATCTGCAGTTCCGTTCCAATCCAGCCATTTGTCGAATTCACGGCCAGCGGATTGGAGGTCAAGCGGCGCGGCCATGGCTGGCTGCGGAGGAGTGATCATGGCGCGTGTGTCTGTGCAGTCTGCCACTGTCTTCGGACGGCGAAGGCCAGCATATGAAGGAGCTCCTTATATAACGCTCATCCGTTGCTTTGGTGGTAGGATGTTTCGAGGAGGCGATATTGGGAAAGAATGGTGAACGAGCACAGGCCGAGTTGAGGTCCCTGACTAGCCAGTCAATGCCAATCCAAGAAGGGGGAACAATCTGCACGGCTGCAGATTCCGCTGGGCAAGCATGGTCGATAGAAGAGAAGCAGTTGGTTCGCTTGCTTGGTGGCTCTTCAGGCTGCGCCCAGGGAGCGCAGCGGCCATTGGTGGGATTGGGGGACGCCTGTTCGGCTGCTCTAACTTCCGCCATGCTGCGCCACGATAACACGATTCAATCCAAGAGGGGTCAGAGAAGGATAGTGTACCGATACATCTTTAATGTGCTATGGACAGCCCTGATAGCATGTACCTTCGTATTCTCACGCCCCTGCTGGTGGTTGAACACGTTGAATGTGGCTGATAGTCGAGCATCTCACCGGTACATCAGCGAAGCGAAGACATTCCGAGTCCTGACTTGGGGCTATTTAAGCGAGGGGCATCGATTCTTGTACAAGTACGAGGTACGAGCAGATACTGTTAATACCCATGAATGCCATTCGATACCGGTGGAACACCTGCAAGAGCCAGATGATACGAGGCTCTTGTCCGCTATCGAAGAACTTATCGACACATCCAGGAAAAGGTACCCTTCGCAGGCGCAGTGGAATAATCAAGGCCAGCATTGAGACATGGACACGGTGAGCCCACCATTTGAGGCCCCGCCTCTTGGATTTTTGGGTGGTGCCCCCCCTTGTCATTTGTGTGTCTGTCCCCTCGCACCCACCTCGTCCCCTACTGTACGAGGTACATAACCCACCCTCTCAGGGGATGGCTCGTAATATGATAAGGTTCCTCCTGCTACCCATATCGCTTTCGTGCGAACGGAGACAGGGGAGATTGTGCGTGAGGGGTTCAACCGTGTGTGGCATTTTCTTTAGGAGTCCTCACTGTGCCCTCGTAATGTAACTAGCTCTTTTAGGTACACAGCAGATAACAAGGCCTGTTGGCCTGCTATCTATTGCGCGCGGAGGAAACATCCTCATCGACGATCTTGCCGAAGCGAGAACGGATCCGTCGGAGTAAGAGGATATTGATCGTCTTGTCAGGTGGTCGATAGATTTGTCTCGAACCGCGACTGCACCTACCGTCACACAGTAGGGTCAAGACGATTTGTGGATAGTCCCATAGCCAAGTGGATAGCTTCATGAGTCGTTCGCCTGTCGAAACAATCCAAATGCGGAGAGTTCAACAAAAACGTGTATTTTGAGTCGCGGATACGTCCTTTGTAGTGCTCGGTTACGGGTTTGCATTGGCACTACTCCCTCGGTAAGCCTTGATCATGGCGCACAATCACTTGTCCTCGGTCTGTGGTCCGTGTTAATGTTCAAGTGGAAAACGTTTCCAAGGAATGCCAGTTCTGAGCGGGTTCCAGGGACAGGGTTCATTCCTTCGCACATTCTTTTGTAACAGTGCACCGAGTACGGATGTACCTGTTGTCTGTGACATATCGTTCTCTCTGTACCCAGTAATTCGACACTAGAGAGAAGTTGCACCGACTGGTAAGGAAATTGTTCCTGTAGTTGCAATGTTGTAGACTGTAGGGCCATGGCCATTTCCAGGGGATTTCCCCAGTGCCCCATCCATATCAACGAGGTACTTCTGAGAGGGCGGTCATCCCGTCGTGTCTCGGACTGGCACTATCTATTTCTGAAGTCGGCTCGCAGGGTGGCAGAGTAGGTAACAACTTGATGCATTTCCTGCGGGAAACCCTCGAGCGCTCGCTTCTCTCTCCCCCGCAAACGCCTTCACAAGTGCTGCTATTTTCTGCGCTTGCCTGGATCGATACAAGGAATGTTGGACACCGTCCTGTGCCCCGCACCTGTAAAAAGCACGTACATAGAGGTTGCACAAAACGCGGCCGAACAAGTCTGGTCGATGGCTCCATCTTCCCTGCATCATGGCCTCGGGAACCTTCAAGGGATATTGGAAACTAGCAGAGGAAACTCGGTCTTCGGCATTTCTGGTCCAAGCGGGACAATGGCTAATCCAGAAGTCAGTTCTTTCAGGACTTTGACACTGTGAGAGCTCAATGCTCGCGGGCACTTTGCGAGTAAGAGACCCTACCGTAGGTACCCAGGAATGGGATCTGGAGGGTCTCTGGTCCGGCAATTTTAGAAGGGGAGAAGTGGACGGGTTACAGATGTTGGCTCGAAGTTTACAGGCTTGCCACGTTTCCCACCCGCGCAATCGTGCGATCCTGGGCAGACGGCTCGAGGGTATAATTGATTAATGAATTTGTCAGACGATCAAAATACTCGGATCGCACGGAAAGAAGCCACGGATGGCACCTCAGCACCGATGAGTTGGCACCATGTGGATTTTCTGTCAGACACAGAATTTCTGTCCCTTCTGTTCAGCCTCCGTAATGACATCACAACGAGAAGTGAACGGGATTGAGTTCTGTAACTGCGTTCGCTTTTTTTCTCCGGGTGGTTTCTTGATCAAAACATCATCATCTTCTATACTCGTTCAAATTCTCTGAACTCTTTTTTGTTGTTTTGTTTGGAAATGCAGCGACACCGCCCTTGATCTACACCCAGCAATCTTTGGGTGTCACAATGTTTTCTCGGCGCTCAAGGCCTTTTCGGAGGCTCCATTATTGTTTGATCTCCGCCCCGGTACCCCTGTCCATCCATGCTATTCGCCCCATGGCTAGTCGTCCTGTTGGTCAGCCAGGACGGGTGGCGTGGTGCTGGCGTTCTCATTTCAACGCTTACCGTCATAGGCCATGTCAGGGATTCCCTTTTGTCGTATCCACCGAATCGCAATCAGCCAATACCTACTGAGGTTTCTTTTCATGTCCCTCCAGGCTTGAGTCTACATGGCCCTGCATCGATCACTGGGAAACCGTCGCCCCTTCGATAACCTTCTTCAAAATCATGGGGCGCCGATGAGGCCTCCTGATATACCAGCATTTTCATAAGCACGAAGATCTTTTCGGTTTTAAATGACGACGCCTTAAGAGCTGGGAACAAGAGGTTTGTGCCCAGGTCGCTTATACTCTGCCTTGTGCCCCCTGGTACTCATTCTACTCGCGCTCCTCGAGGCTGGAATCCTTTATCAACATCAAAACCCTCCGGCACCGAGATCAGCGTACCCTTGGTTGTTGGCAATCCCGGCACTTTCTGTTGATCATTTCTCACGCAATTTTCCAAAACACTGCAGATCAGACGCCCCCCAGCACAACCGCAAGCGCAACAGCACAAGCACCTGCCACCATCCCTGTCCATCAAGACAAACTCGTGACTCTGAGTCTGACTCTCATTTGTACTACATCTGGTAAAGGGCGAGCGACGAGAGGCCTACAGGAGCAATTCTGAGACGAGACCCATCTTTGGCAAACTCGGTGCCTGATCCTCCAGTCGTGTACAGCACACCAACCTTGGGCATCCCTCCACCAAATACCTATCCGCTTCTTCAATTCTTCCTGTTGCGGGCTCTCCTCTTTTACCGACATAAATCAACTCAGCATTGCCCCTCTTTCGGGCTCATTGCAACAAACAATTCGACGTCACGCGGAGCCCACCTAAAGGATTGACAAGTTGGTAGCAACCACATTTCCAGCGCCCCTCGCAGCCCTGGTCTCTACAATTTGGCCCCTTTGATCCGACTTCCGAACTTTGCAAACAGGACCAACCCACTTCGATGGGCATAAGACTCTTCATAAAGAGGTAACCGCACCTGTACCACAGCTGCCGCATGCACACAACAAGTGGCGATTCCCAGAGACGTCGCAGAGATTCCACGAAACACGGCCTGCGACGTTTCGCTTCTCCCATTTATATTGATCTTCCTGATTCAATGGGGTACACGATGAACCGCGATACATACTCTGGGCGTTACACCCCAACCTCACCGTTGTCTCCGAGACTCCATGCTAGTCAACAACCACTCTCTCCTCAATCAACCCGAAGTCGGCCAGCACCACATGGTCGGCAAGCATCGAGGAACATGCACATGACTCTGCCTCGATTCCATCCTGCCAATTTCGGTCATCTTGACTCGCCAGCCACACCAGCAACACCATCTTCCACTGTCCAGAGCCCAGCCATCACCTTGAACCGGGTGACGCAGCCCGTCGTACTGGAATCTCCGAGGTTGATGCGTGAGAAGCAACGCGAATTCATAGAGAGAACCACGTTGTCCGCCAAGATCGCAGCCTCTTCGATGGGCATCAAACCCGGTGCACCACGGTTGGACCCTCTGGGCAGTCCTAAAGGTCCCGTCACGCCTCTAGCACTCGAAGAAGGTGACGACTACTTTCAAGTCGCTGGAGCAGGCAAAGTGTCACCAGCAGGAAGTCCAGGCCCGGGAAGAAGTCCACGTAGTGATATTTCGTCGGACAAGGAGGAATCGAAGAACAAGAAAATCAGACAAGCCGATGTCTATCAATGATGGCAGCAATACAGTTGGTGTTGAGCAGAGATGGGGATTCGCAGGCTGACACTTGCTCAGTCTGTTCGATGGTTTCTCAGTTTCTTTTGTTATTAGCATATTGACACTCGTTGCGACTGGCCTCGCATCAAGGTTGCATCGGGTACACGGATTGCATCAGGTATCGCCTGAGACTCTAGCATTGGCGTTGGGAAGTCTACAAATTCGACCATCATCGTTGCCTGGGGCAATCTTGGTTTTGCCATTAGGGATTGACTGGGCCATTCTCTGCATAGCGAGGGTTGCAGGTCATTTCTGAGCATCATAACGATAGGCATGAAAAAAGAGGCCGGTCTATATTTGCATGGCCATGGGCATAGATAGACCAGACGAGCGAGAAGAACATTTGACAAATCCAACACATCATCTCGCACTATGCGGAAAGATGACTCCGTATGAGAGTACCTGTCCGTAGGATTTCCTGTGGCTGGGATATCTGCACAGGGATGGAGTGTAGTGTAAAGCCAAAGTGGCGGTGCATGGTCCGTCATCCATGTTTCACCAACGGCTCCAAAAATGTCACTCTCGACAGCCAGTGAAGCGACTTGAACACAAAACACACCCACAACTGCAGTTCACTCATTTGAGTCTCATTGTCTTTTCTTCCTCTTTCCTTTTTTCCCTTCTTGATTGCAGAGCTAACCGCTGCTCTTCGAGACCTGAAGCACCTCGTTTTGCCCGTTCTCTTTCAGGCCGCCTGCTCCCACGAACATGCTCCAACAGGCCACGCAACAGTCCCCGAGGTGACACGATTGTTCAAACCTCGTCCATTGCACAGGCGTGGCATGCTTCCAACATGCGACAGCCACGCAGTAGCAACAGGACCCTGGCCCTTGGCATCCTCCTGGGCGTTGTCTTCATCTACTTCCTCTACAGCATCCACAACACCTCAGTCGACCAGTCCGAACTCCGCCTGCGAGTACAAACGTCGGCAGCCGAGAACCCTCTATCTCCCCCGACCTCAGCCTTCCGCAAGCAATCCAACTCCCAAAATGCCCACGGTGTCCGCCGGCCGCCTCCCGTCGTTCACTACCAACTGAATAACCTGACCGCGTCAGCGCTGCCCGTTCAAAAGCACGAGAAAGTCCTCATTTTGACGCCCCTAGCGCGCTTCTACCCCGAGTACTGGGCCAATCTCATGACCTTGAGCTACCCTCACGAGCACATCAGTCTCGGCTTCATCACACCCAAGACGAAGGAAGGCAATGCGGCGACGGCCGCTCTACAAGATGCAATAAGGGAGACGCAATCGGGTCCGGAAGAGCAACGGTTTCAATCGGTGACTATTTTGAGGCAGGACTTTGTGCCACCCTTGAATTCACAAAACGAACAGGAACGCCACAAGATGGAGAACCAAAAGATCCGGCGGGCGTCCATGGCGCGGGCACGGAACAGCCTTCTCTTCACCACCATCGGGCCGCATACGTCTTGGGTGTTGTGGTTGGACGGTGATGTGGTTGAGACCCCCCCTACACTGATCCAGGATCTGGCCAGTCACGACAAATCCGTCATTGCCCCGAGCTGCATGCAGCGGTACGTCAACGACGACGGGAACGAGGACATCCGACCCTACGATTTCAACACCTGGCGCGACAGTGACGTCGCACAGGAGCTCGCCAGCAAGATGGGTCCCGACGAAGTTCTTCTCGAGGGATACGCGGAGATGGCCACGTATCGAACGCTCATGACCAAGCTGGCCAAGGTGGGCAAGGACCGTGATGAACGGCGTCTGATGCCGTTGGACGGCGTGGGTGGAACAGCACTTTTGGTCAAGGCCGAGGTGCACCGCGACGGCGCCATGTTTCCTCCTTTTCCTTTCTATCATCTCATCGAGACGGAAGGCTTCGCGAAGATGGCGAAGCGGCTTGGGTTCGAGGTCTGGGGTCTCCCCGATTACTTTGTAAGTTTTGCGCGATGTGTGACTGTTACTTTGTCCTCGTACTAATTCTCTGACCTTTTTTTTTTTAACAGGTGTACCATTATAATGAATAGATAACGCCCCGTGATGACATCCAGCAATACCTAGGGTATCATATCATATTCAGGGTTTTGTTTTGTTTTGACCCTGACCTTGACCTTGATCCTGATCCAGAAAAAGGAAAGAAAAAAAAAGAAATAGCGCAAAAAGAATATTATTTGGTTACTTACCTACCTACCTACCCACCTATCTGCCTTTGAAACACTTTTACCAATCCTACATGCCTCCTAACTATGTTGCCTACCAACCCTCGAAACAGTTTTGTCTATCCTACGTGCCTACCTACCACCTTTGCACTGTGAACCGCTCTCCGCGCTCCACGCCCCACGCCCCATGCATGATGATTCGCAGGTACACCGCTTCTATAAGATTTCAAGTGAGTGGGGAGAGATCTACGAGATTGTCGAAGTGCCGACATGTCGAAGTGTCGGAGCAGACAAAGGCAACGCGGGGATGAGAATGAGGGCTAGGATGTATTATCCAGGAATATCCGAGTCCCAAGAGGCAGAAAAGGGGAGCATGAGTTTCCGGGTAAGACAGAAAGAGAGATGTACGAGGTAACTGCTCTACTAAATGAAAATGAATCGAAAGAACATGTCTGATCAACTGAACTGGGTTGCCCTGTTTTTGTCAATTACTACTACGATAGTATATTTCCTCTCCTCTCCTCCCCTTTTTTTTCTTTTTTTTTCTTTTAGGTGTCGTCACTCATTCAGAGCTTGTCACAACAACAGTGTATCTGGAGCAGCCATGACAAGGGGCTCTTTTTGTGTCCATCTTTTCTGCAACTCCAGAACAGTTGGCCCTGGGCGGCCATCCAGCGAGACATATATCTCTCGCGGTTTCTGTAACATTATTTTTTTTCATCACTCATTTCGACCATCCGCCCAACTTGTCCCTCTTGATCTTCTTGGCCTGTCGCAGGCTGTATTTTGCCCGCTTGGCGAGTTTCTTGCCACCGCCACCGCTGGAGGTCGAGTTCTGAGGCATGTTGGTCGTGGTGTTGTAGATGGCGTCCGGAGGGATGACGGACAGCTGGATGGTGGCGTTGCCCTCGCGGTACGAGGAGACGGTGGAACCCTTGGTGAGGAACTGGGGCGTGATGGTGGTCTTGCCCGTGGCGATGTCGGTGTCGGCGAGGACGCGGTCGAGCATCTCGAGAGAGACGAGCGGCTGGTAGAAGGGCACCTCGTGGCCGGACTCGAAGATGCGCACAAAGGCGAACTTGCCGCTCTGGCGCACCTGGCCGTGCACGACGCCGTCCGAGGAGGAAATGTTGACAAAGCCCGCGTTCGCGTAGCCCGTCGCGCTGACGTGGTCGGCCACCACTTGCCCGCCCAGCCAGTTGCAGTTGAAGTCGGCGTCTCCGAAGTACATGGTGACAGAAACGTTCTGGCGCAGCAGCGCCTGCAGGGCCTCCACGGTGCCGATCTCGCGGTCGTCGTCGCCCGTGCTGCCGAACGCGTTGCCCACAGCCGCGTTGCTCTCGGTGTAATTCACGTACGCCCCAATGGCCGCCTGCACCCGCTCCGTGTTCAGGTAGTCGACATAGTCAACCGGTGGGAACGGGTCCGGCATCAAGAAGCGCACGTCGTACTCGTCGCGATTCAGGTAGATGTCGTACAGACTCTCCACCTGTTCTAGGCAGAAATTGTCGGCCGCCGTGCATATTTCGTCAATCTTCCGTGTGTTGCAGTCGAGTGTCTGGTCGTAGCAGTTGCCCGGCCCGTACAGGTTGTTGAACCATTGGTCTGTCCACAGGTCAGGACCCCTGTCTGCCACTCAATCATGCAGGGGGGCAGAAAGGCGTAGCCAGAAAAAATGGGCGAAAGATAGAAACGAGGCATAAAACGGAAAAGGGAGGGAAAACACACCTTTGACGGTCTGATTCAGTGGGTCATAGTCGTATGTATTACCTGGGGCTACGGAGAAATTGTAGTAGGCTTGGTATTGGATCAAAGGGTCGTACCAGCCGTTGCCGATCAACACATGCTCGAGGCGGATGTTGTGTGCTCCGGTGATGTTCTTCGCATTCTGCTGCTCGAAGTATTCCGACATGATGGGTGCATAATGGCCACCTAAAGCGAGTAAATGTCAACTGGGTCAGTACTTCTCGCATTCAATCTCTTGGCGACTGGGGTGGAGGTGGACTGGCAGATGGGAGAATAGAACTGTAGTAAGGCCCTTTGCCTTCAGAAGGCCTCCCTGCAGAAACGGGCACGTACCATATGATTCCGTCGCAAAGTTGATCCCCTGTCTCGCATACTGCGGGAATACGCCCATGAACCCCTGCAGTGTCTTCCACATGTTTGGCGCGGTCGCGGGCGTGCTGTTAGCTGTCAGAGACTCGTTCCAGTACGAGTACGTCCCGCAGCCCCAGTCACTGGCATAGTCGGGGCAGGTGTTGTTGGGCAGTTGGACTAGCATTCCCGAGTTCGGGTCCTCGTAGGCGGGCACAGGCGACGAGTAACTTAAGCCGACCTGCGTTGGCTCGTCGATGACGATCAAATTGGTGACATTGGACCACGAGTACGGATTGTCCACCGCCTCACCGTCCTGGTTGATTCGACATGGTCCCAGCTCTTGAAACAGACCGATCATCGAGGACGAACCCGGTCCGCCATTGATCCAGATGGTGAGCGGTGCGGTCGTGGGGTCGACGTTGCGCGCCTCGAAGAACCACCAAAAGATGTGTTGGCCGGGAGACACGTCGGCGTAGCCAGAGAAGCTCTTCACGTCGGGATCCTGCTCGCAGATGCCAGCGGGCACGGACTTGTAGCGGAGCGTGACATCTGCGTAACCAGTCTTGGTTGTAAAGTTCGTTGGCGCAGTCACGAACTGGGAGGAAACGAACTGAGCACCTGAAGCCAGCAGCAGAGCTGCAGGGAGCAAAGAGATCATGTTGGAATTGCGCAGTCAAAGAACGCACTCCGGACTCGCTCCGCAGAAAAGAAAACGTTGAGCGAGACAAAAAAGAAGATCAAGGAGGGTAGCACCGAAGAAGAGCTCGTCCCGCGTCACTCTAGAGAAAAAAGGCAATGGTGATCCTTTTGTACCACGCACGGAGCACCATCAGCACCCGTCATGCACGAGCTACCTTGCTCTTTTCATCCTTCTCGATCCGAGGTATAGCTACGAGGGGAATAACAGCTTGCTCAGATGATGACGATGCTGCTCCCCCACGAGCTCGGGATTGACCGAAGGAACCATCACAATTAATCCTCTCGATCGCATTGGATGAGAGAAGCTAGGGAGGCGGGTCTTGCTAGACATGGTAGGGAATAGGAAGAAGAGCCGTTTGCTAGCAAGGTAGCAGAGTCGCAGAGGGAAGCAGAGGCTGGTATAGGGAGCTGCCTGTTCAGGTATTCTTTGTTTGGCGATCAGGGCACGGCTGCTACCCTAAGGTAAGCTTTCTCATCGACAAAGCTTGCTCCAGACTGTGGCGAAGATAAGAAACAAGTCCCATGGGCCGATAAAAAGGCTTCCGCAGGCGAGGAGGGGCTTGGTAGGAGCTCTAAGAGGCATCGGGTCGTGGGGAAAGGTAGCATTGAACCTGAATTGCCCTGTCGGTGCCCGCCCAAGCTTTTGGGAGGCGAGGCAAACAATGGGTCTGGTGAGCCCTTGATCCCGGCTGCGGGCGGGAGCCAGGTTAATAGTTGGAATCCCGCCGCGTCAGATGATTGGAGGGAGGCCAGTTGGTGTCAAGGCACCTCCCATGCTCATCCTCATGGAGATGGCAGAGATGGCAGAGATATGTGGGAGGGGCACATCAGTAGTGTAGGCACGGGACAGATAGGAGGGGAGCTGACCCTCTGCGCAAGTGGCGCAGGCACCCAGGACGGGCGTCAAGGAGGCGCCTCGCGTATCTCACTATCTCCATCACGTGAAGACGACAAGTCCACCACCAAGAAACATCACCAAACACGAGGGATATTATTTGGGAATACATCCATTGTTTTGTCAGCTCAAGATTCGTTTTGCTACCATAAAATCAGATTCGTAAAGTCCTCAAACTCCCCCATATCGTCAAAGCTTTCAACTGCTGTGTCCACCATATGTTTGGTGCTCACCGACTATGCTTCCTTTTGTCTGAAATCAATCGAAATTTCCTCATAAATAAATTCCTTTTCGTCCACAGGATCGTACTCCTCCGCACTGAAATCACGGATCCAAATCGTTCTCTTCACCCCGGTACCCCTTGCGGCATCAAAGTCGTCGTCGATCTCGTACGTGACTTTGACCAGTCCCTGCGCGACACGCTCCTCGTCGCTAGGCTCCTTCTTGGTGACCTGCCTCGGTGGGCTGGTCTGAAGCTTGGCTGGCTTGTTTTCGTCGGATTTTGGCTGCGGACGTTTGACAAGGAGCTCCAGTGGACAGGTGGTATTGTTGTAGACCCAGCTGGATGGGTTGTTTCGTGCACTGCAGCGCACACAGTTCCGACGATGGTTCCAGAAAGCCTGGTGGAGGGAAAGCTTGATCTTGTCTGGCAAGACAGTGTCAAGGTGGGTGCACATGACAATCTCGTCGTTGCATGATTCCGGTACCTAACCGAGAAGCTTTGCCATTCCGGCGACGTGAGTGTCCACGGCAAAGACAGGCAACGACATGTTGAAGCACATCAAGCAGGATGCAGACTTGACACCGATCAACGGGAGAGACACAAGGTGATCAAGGAGAGCTTGCTTGCCCTCTTGTCGGTAGATTTCCCAGAAATAGTCGACAGACAGCAGGCCAGGTACGAAGTCAGAGGCACCTCTCTCGTTGCCATCGTAAAGGACTTCACCAACCCCAAGTGGGTCAAGACGCGCGACATTTCTTTGGTAGACGATGTCAAGGATGTCTTTGATCGCTTTTGGCTTCTTGTTGGCAAGACCGGCCTTTTTCAGCACCTTTTCCAGCTTTGTCAGACTCTGGACGCGCATTGCGTGATAGTTCGGCTTCTGTCCTGCGACCCATGTGTGTCCGACGCGATAAGGATATGCAAGGAGCATTGCTTGCTGTGCATCCAGTGCCGCTTCGTTTGTGCATGCCTGCGACAAGATGACACGGACGATGGAGTCGACAGAGATACCGGTGCTTGCATGGAATGGGTTGGTCGCTGTCCCTTCCACTGCGGCAGCCGCATTGATGGCAGGCTTTTCCTCCTCCAGTATCTCGTAGACCTTGCGGATGTTATACGGGCTCGGTGATGTCCAGTACCACAGGTGGTCGTGGCCGAACTGGAATCGTTGGATGTTCGTGTAAGGCGTTGCGGGGCGGCGCTTTCTCAGTTTCTTCAAGAACATGCCCAGACCTTTGGATTGAAGAGTGATAAAAGGGCCACGAAGGTCTTCCTTTGCCTTTCGAACAGCCTTGATCCGCCCCGTGACTGTGCCGTCTCCTCCTCGACCACGAAGTGCGCGACCGGCAGTAAGAATGCTCGGAGCTTGTGTCGTTGCATGGTCTGGTTCAAACTCGTCCTCGTCCTCCCTATGAGCCTGCTTGCTTTTCTTGGGTGGCGAAGTGTCAAGATCTAAGGAGAGTTAGCTTCGATCCAAGCAACAACCACTTCACGTCACGAACCTTGATCAGTGGACTCGCGTTTGATCCCCCGGGAAGTGGCAGCAGCTTGCTGACGGACTGATTTATTTCGCTTGGGCCTCTCCTTGATGTCAACCTTGGAAGCCACAACAAGATCCGTGCCAGTAACCCCGAATTGCTGAAGACGAGGGCCAAGCTTGAAAGTGACAATAAGACGACGAGCGCTATTCGATGTCTGGTCAGAAGAAGCGGTGAAAGCGGTGGCAATGGTGACGTCCGGCATAGCGACATCTGTGCTGGCACCTGCGGACACGGTGGTGGAGACTTGTGTGACCTGGGTGGTAATGTTGACTTTGCTAGACCCTTGTGCTCGAGTCGTGCGGCCCTTGGTTTGCTGTGCTCTTGTTGACACCATTTTGGAAGCTAGAACTGCAGTTGAAACAAATTCGAAAACTAAAGGAAATCATCTTGTCAGTCTCATGCGAAGTCATTGAACAAGAAGGGGTCAGATGTGATGGGGGAAGAAGTTGAGGCAAACAAGTCGGATAGTTGGAAGTCAAGAATCGGCGACAACGAACTGGGCCTGAGTTCTTGACACATGTCGGCGCTGGACGGTCTCCTGTATAGATGTTGAGCACATGTCGATTGAGGAGCCAGCCTTGTCGTTGTCGGCGCAGACTCGCTTCTATAGTGAAGTTGTCACATGTCGATTGTCTGAAGAGACTTGTCAATGCTCATATGCTCGGGGCCTGACTGTGATGGTGAAGACACCCTCAGCCTTGCCTAGGCTCGGCGCTGACCCGCCTTCCGGAACAGGCAACTCAACGACCAAATTCGGCGGTGTAAACAAAAGCCTGTTGTTGGAGGCCAAAAATGCTGGATGGTTGAAGTCTGCTGCAAGTCGGTCCAACTCGTGCGGATTTGTCAAGATGAACCTCTGTCTCAAATCGCAAGACAAATGACATCTTGAAACTGATACTAGGAAATGCCCTTTCGAAACCTGGGACCTCTTCGCTGTCGATCTTCGCAGGCGGCCAAAGGGACAAAGGAGGCGGACAATTCCATACCATCCAAATTCTGGGAGATCGATTGTCCAGGATCGGGTGGAATCAGAGACAGAAAGAACAATGAAGATGACTTACAAAATCTCAAAGTGACGTTGGTCTGACGTGGAGTAGACCGTGCGAAAAGGTTCAAACGGCGAAAACGGAAAGCAGTCGAAAACAAATTGCTTCTGTAGATATGGTCGAGGGTGTTGATATTTCGAGGCTAAATCGAAGTAAGTAATGTGAGCGAAGAAGTTGTTGATGGATTGACTGAAGGAAAGAAGACGGAGGAAAGAGGGAGGAGGAGAGTGATATATATAGACGATGGGCGACGAGGAGCACATGCGAGCACATGCTCGTCGTCGTCATGTCACCGTCTTCCGCCCTCCTCGCTCCACTCTCCGCTGACAACCGGAGGACACGTGGTCCTTGTGGCCAGGCTCCAGCGCCAGGAAGGTCCACTGCAGTAACTTTGCATGGCCTGACACGTGGCAGTGAGGGAGAAGGATAGGCACGGAAGAGCGATTGAAAGAGCCTTGACGGGAAAGTGACGGACAGGAGAGAACAGACTCACAGGCAGACCGACCAAACCCTAAGAAAGTCAGCTTCGTCAATGGACAGGGACACAGTCAGAGAAAAGGGCATACCTCAGAGCATGGAATTGACTGTTCTCAGAAGCCCTCAGAAGGCCCTTGGCGTACCTTGCGGTATTTGTGATCTGTATATATTCATGCATGTCAGACTATCAGAGAACTAACATGCTCATGGGAATGGGCAGGTTAAATATGTTTTGGCTTTCCAGACTCTAGAAGTGTCTGGAGGAGCAAATTGAAGGGTTCTGTTTGCTGTTTGTCTCCGGAATCCTAACACCCGTTCCGCCCGGAGCTTGCGACAGACAAACTGCAGAGCGCAAACAGCAACTCTCATGGTGTAGTATTGCTAGGGTATGGAACTCACCAAGGGGAGTGTCGGGAGGCAGCGTGTTGTGCGAAGTCTCAGGCAGTGTCCTGCAAAATGTTCATGTCAGCAAGTCGTTCGACACCAATCACAGACGCAAGGTCAAGTTGCCAAAGACAGCAACGACGCAGCACCAAGCAAATGCCTATCTCAATTGGAACTTGCGAGAGGCAACATACCTTTCTTGCCCAGTCCTTCAGGTGACAGACCGGTGACGGTGTGGATTTCTGAGAGGAGGAAGTCGGCAAAGTATTGGACAATCGGACGCTTAAATACCCCGAAGACGATCCCTCGACGACACAAGGTGACGAAACCGTGACGGGAACAAGACGTGGTAGAACCTCACTTTTCGACGGCAGACTAAATACAAAGCGACGTCCAGTCGATGCCACAGGGTCTCAAATCGGACACAATTTGCAAAGTCAATTGTGCGAGATTGATGACGTGCCGGTGACGGGAAAGAATGACAGTATCCGAGTAGTTGGAAAGGATATCAACGAGACAGAGACAGTGCAACAGAGGTGGAAGTGAGTTGGAAATGCATCGCAGAAGAGGATGAGACTGGGGACGGGGTTCGGGAAATAAGCTTAACTGTTTTGTGGCCGCCCATTGGATGTCGAGAGGAGGGGGGTGGATTGGGGGAGACCCGAACGTACACAACGATTTCCGCTCCGCCAGCATCGCCCAGGCATCCAAGCCAAGGGCGGAGAAACCAGGGTCTCGATCGGCGAGATTGATATTGGCTATTTTCCTTCCTGATAGTCCGAGGACCTGATAGAGGACGGGAAGGAAGGAAAACCATGAGTTTTGCTTCAAACAGGGTTGTCCTCAGCAGGAAGCATTTTGCTCGTCTCTGGCCTGATGCAAAACCCAAATCTGCAGCCTGTCCATCTTTTGACTCACACTATGCACAGCTCTGAGACTAACAGACCACTCTTGTCAGCTCTATCGATGCCATCGCAATGTCCTGTGTTCGAAATATGCAATCAGCGCCACCCCCAATGAACCTGCGCCAACGCTTTACCGTCCATGCCATCGCCACAATACCACCTATAGTCGTGGTAGTTTCACACACAGAAAAGACAGGCAATTGCCAGAATAACCAGGCTTACTGCATACCCGCAAGAGTTTGGGGCCGTACTCCGAACTAGCACGGCGCTTTTCTTGAGTGCTAGAGGCAAGCCCATCCTTCCGAAGCCTAAACGATCCATCTGGCCCCCAGTTTCTCGATCTGCTCTTCATTCTCTGCTTTCCAGGAAGTGTACTCTGGTTTCTCTTTGCCATCGGCGTCGTGAATGTTGTAATGGACGAGGCCCCAGAGCTCCAACTGCGTTTGGAAACCAGGATTCGGTTTCGCCTTTGAGCGACCACACCGAACATATCGCAATGCCGTGTCGAAATCGAGGTTCATTTCTTCCATAATAAACCCAATCACAACTGCGACAGATCGTGATATACCTTTCTGACAATGGACAAGAACACCGCCATCGTTGTTCTTGAGGCTTGCTTTGATGAAAGCACAGGCCTCGCCCAGAAACTGGAGCAGGTCAACGTTGACGTTATCCCGGAGACTGATCAACTTGAGAACGAAGTCTGCCTCATGGCCAGGGGGCACTTTGGGCTGCTTGTCCGGATTCTCGATGACGGAGAGGACATATTTGATTCTTGGCCGATTTGGTGCATTGTAGTTGGGGCTGAGGACTGCGGCAGCAGTGTGAATGCTGTCCGACAAGGGTCAGACAAAGCCTGCGCACATAATGAATGGGGCAGACTTCACTCACTCTGACAGGTACAGATTTGGCAAGATCTTATCTGGGATCAGAGGCGCTGTTGTCGTGGAAGGGGTGGCGCAAGGACTATTCATCTTGGAGGCTGTTGAGTTGGTGAAAGGACTCTTTATCGGCATGGACTTGGAAACGACACTCATGGCGCGATGCTGGTTTGACCGGAGAGATCTGGGTGAAGATATTATGGCCAACATCATGCTCACGCTGCTGTAACAATTTATCAACCCTTTGCCAAGTAGAGGGATGACCTTTTTTGCAGGTGGTTTCGCTATGGGTGCGGCAGAAACCGTGGTTCCAACTGACGCTCTTCCTCCTTGTCTATGTCTGGATTTTGTTGACGGTATGGATATAAGCCGGAGTCCTGTAACATTTTGGATGCGTTGATTGCAAAAGGGCGAGGACTTCGCCGGGACATCGCGCTGATATACGGGAGCGAGCTTGAGCACCTGCGCTGACTGTCATAAGGACACCAGAGGGGACCCACGGGAATGAAGGGAGTGGAAACGTGAAGATCCATGAAAGCTAGATACGCGAAAGGAGGATGCAGGAAACCAGCACGAGGCGGATCAGAAGAAGCCGCTTGGTTCGCTGTGGACACGACCAATTGTATCTATCTTCTTACTAGTCGTCATCCACATTTCTCCGCCCCGAAAAGTCTGGGCGTCGCTTCCCGCTGCTGAATCCCCCGGAGAAGGTGATTGTCGACGTAATCGGGTCCAAAATCCCTCCCGCGTCTACTCAGCATCTTGTTCAAGAATAGCCAATGCAGGCAGCGGGGAGAGTGCTTCCATGTTTCTCGTCGTTTTTTTGGATGCAAGTCATAGCACAGCCGTTCTCTACCAGCCCCTTTCTCCATTCCTCCCGAGTTGGATGGCTGAGTAGGGTTTGCGAGATTGTGGAGGAACAGTGGTGGTGCTTCTATCTTCCAAGGTCGCACTCGGTCGTAATGGCCGCTCGTTCGGTAATCGAAGCCTTGTATGTGGATGGATAGTCCTCGCACAAGCACCCTCCTAGGCCCTACTAAGCCTGCGATCTTTCTGTAAGCAAATCTTACTTGTCGGATGTATCTTTGTGAGCTCTGGTGTGTATACGGCAGATATCCAAGTCGATTTCATGGAGCATTTCTTCCTGCGTGGCAAAGCCTATATGTTTCGGCGCAGTGCTGTTGCATTTGTTCGAGCAAGGCCCTTTCTTTTCGCATCTGGTTGGGGCGATGTCTAGTGTCGAAGACTGGGCATATTGGACGACTATTCGCTAAGATATTGTCTCATGTCATGACGTCTCCGTGGTTTACCTTCCACTTCTTGATTCTGCGAGCAAGATCGCCTTCGCTCTGTTGCATCGGATTGAGCTTTCGGTCTCTGACCATGGCTTTAATATCGTCGCCATGCTTCTCCACTAGTTTAGCGATCCATTCTTCTTCCCGATGGCTCTGTTGTCGTGGCCGTTTCTTCTTTGCCAGCAACTCCGCCTCCTCTGCCGCCTGCGCTTCCAGCTCTGCGACGATGCCACTTGCAGGCTGTGGCCTCGGTTGTTCATCTTCCACATCCATAATGTCGTTTAAAGGGTCGTTTAGCGGATTGTCATTCGCTGTCTCTGGTCGGATGATCCTGAGTATACGACCT